TTTGGAAGGGATGTTATATAAATAATGTGGCAACATCCATATGGAATAAATGAACAAGCAAGAATGAGAGCGCTGCATATATGGACCCAAGAAAAGGCAGGATATCATGTTGATCTTCATCTTCCCGACTTCAACACCAGGTCATGGCAAAGAGAGGCCAAATGACTTGGTGTCACGCCATATTTGACGTCTTATCTCACGCCGTGGCTACCTGGACTGCCATCCACCTACCTCTCAGCCTCAGGTACACCCTAGATACTTCCCCGTTCACACGGCCAAATGGTAATGACTTTCGGTGGACCTCCGTTTTTTCAATCCATTTTTTTTTTTTTTTTGACAAACTTGTTGATTCAATGTTGTTTACGCCTCCTATGCAATTCATTCTGTGCGCTGACATTCTGTAGACGAATCTCGAAATATATATATATATATATATTACATGGTAATACATGCTCCTAATATTTAGAGACCTGGTAAATGTGAAACATTTTGCGCTCAATAAATTATCATGTTAACATTGGAGATGTGTCAAACAGGGTTACGGTGCGTGTGACACTGCTATCGTTCATAACATTATATTGCCTATCCAATCTAAAAAAAAAAACGGAAAGATAAAATCCTTGTTTTTATGTGTCATCCCTCTCTCTCTCTCTCTCGACGGCAATTTGATAACACAGTACACGAACATATAACAAAACTGTCTATTTCATATTCCTCTCTTAAATATTTTTATATGTAATATAATCATTATACGTCCATGTCCCCACATTTCGATTTATATTTCTACAAGTCATGTATTCCATATTGAAAACAAATGGATTTTACATTGTATTTTTAATATTTGCTGAACTAATACTCCAACGCGGTCTGCGGTGGTGTGTGAGAAACTAAGCGGATATTCTCACTACTATAAGGTATATATGAGACGAAGAGATAATGAAGCCGACGGATTATTCATTAGATGAATTTCACAGTGTAAGCCAAGTCAAGGGCTTGCCGCGAACGTATTGAAAATTGTTGCCTTCACTTTACATTTTCTGGATCAATGTCTACCGCTGACGGCAAGACGTCATAATTTGCAAAGGCTGTGCGAAGTTAACTCCTGGTGCTTTCAAATCGATGCAAAAAGTCGACCATGCGAGCAGCATTTTTTACGATATCTTTACCGCTTGTATGTATATATGCCACTGTGTCACGTGATTGCGATTGGTATCAGTGACAACCTACTTAACCTAAGACCATCGCCGCGGTTCAAACAACGGTCTTACGTGGAAATAATTAGATACTATACATTAAATAGTTCTAGGTACATAATTAAGTGAGCTTAAGACGTTCGACCCCAGTTACACAATAATGTTTCTGATTGCTCAGAGAAATAAGGGGCAGTGATTTTCTATGAGGGTATATATCACATCTGTAAATTATGTGCTGAGGATGAGGATATTTCTGTGAAAATAGCAAATATCTATTCCAACGGATGTCTGTAAATTTTTGACCATATATTGAAATCCAAGAAAGTCGAATATTACTTTGAGTTCTTATTTTGCAACGGAAGCCATCCGATCACTAGGCAAGGAGAATTATTAGTATGCCACCTGTACAATAATAAAGATATATGCATTAGGAAATAGCCTGAAAAATAGACATTATAATTGTTCTTTTATACGTGGAGGGCCGCAGCTCGCAATGACAGACGCATGCAAAGTGATATTCCCAACATGTGAAAAACAACTGCGTTTCAGATGGAAGTGGTCATGGTCTGTGGTAGTCTATAAAATAATAGAAAGCACTTTCCTACGGGTCCAGTTTCGCACAAAAAATGCTTTCATCTGAATAAAATCCTGACTTTAAACCCGAAATCTTGACGTAATCCGTAGAAGTCGACTAAAAGAAAATATCTATCTATTTATTTAAACCAGTAGCACTTCTTACTTCTAGTAAAAGAGGCACACTATACTTATTAATGTTAAAACAAAGTGGACTTAAGATATGTATGTCGACGTGAAAAATGTTAGAAACAGTTATCTTCTGCCAGAATATAGTATTATTTGTTTAACAGAAATTATTTTGATAAACCTTCTTTTTGCATTTCATTACTTTCGTAAGCATCAGATGGCATGACATGTGAATAATGTTTTCTGTTAATTAACATCAACTATTCAAAATTGCTATTCACAATTGCAGATAAAGGATGCGACTAAACCCACATTAGTGGTTTGCTAGCCTTTGTGTGTGTGTGTGTGTTGGGGGGGGGTTACTGAATCAGATATTCTAAATTTTATCATTTGGATTAATAAAATTTGTTTTTCTTATACAATTTGTGAAATATTTGTGAATCCGAAGTAAAAGTATGAAGGGTAAAAAAAAAGGTAAAACTGCAGCCATGTCTTGTTCCCGAGTGTTGGGGATATGGGAGAAAGTGACCACCGATGTGAAATGTGCGGCTGACAATCAACCACGCTGTCAACCGTAACACGACCGTTAAAGAATGGATAATTTACTAATCTGATCAAGTGACTCGTTTAATTTCAAGATTGATGAGAAAAATAAATGAGAAGGAAATGGAACTCTAACATGTTTACCTTATCATTAAATAGAATACGTTAACTTTATTTGATAACGAACTGGAAGAATGTGCATTTGCTCGTATTTTATCGTCCTTTTTTATTTCCACGCAAGTTTATGGCAGAAGGGAGAAATGCAGTGAAAATTCATATTGATTTGTGCATATTTTCATATGGTGGGGGTGCTCTTTATCTTACGATTTTAACACCATTGCGATTTCGTAATGTACATAAACGATGGTTATCAACTGAAAATTATATTTGAATGTACATGAAGCGCTCTATAGATCACGTTGAAGAATAATCCGGCGAATTTTTTTCGTTACAATGCAAGAAAAACATTGATTAACGTATATATTTCAAAAATAAAACTCATTCCTTATTAGTGGTGCAAAACGGTTTGGCTTTTTTTAGTAGTATAATAGTTGCAGTGCTGGTTGTAGTAGTAGTAGTAGTAGTAGTAGTAGTTAAAGTGTCAGAAGTTATTTCAAATCCACCTAGGGTATTTTATTAAAAATCCAACCTAAGCTATATTCTGTGTTACTCAACACAATAAGAACGACCAAATCCGGCTGTCCCTTTATATAAGCGAGACCATACTGTCCTCGAAAAGTGTCGGCACCTTTCAATTTAACTCCTGCAACTCTGAAAAAGGTCTGGCAACCGCTGACACCCCTGACTTTCGAAAACAAAGCGTTTGAAGTTCGTCTACCGGGTTTCACGTTAGTCAGTGCTATTGAAAGGGACGCTGAGCCTGCCCAGCCGATTTTTCACCTCAGTGTTAAGCCCACTATTCAAGCCAGCTTTCATTCATTACTGCGGATCTCTGATGAAGCATACGAGGAGAGATCCACCCCTGGCGCCCAGTGACTGCGTGGGTCGTCTGCTCCATTCTTTAGCGATCGTCTGCCTTTTTCAATCCTACGTAATGCTATTGTCGGGGTGTGAAAGAGCCAGGGCCTGATTGAAAGAAGGGGAGGTGCCCGTTATCTCGCTGTAACATCTCGCACAGATGCATTCTGACGTCCAGGTTAGGCAATGTCACCCAGGTAAATAAATAAGCCGTAATTAGTTAATTAACCGTGACTTTGTCAGCCAGATCTGCTGCTTTACAACGTTAAGGGCTTGACAGGTACAACATGCTTGTTTAGCTTTATGTCAACCGCGGTCACTTATTGTCCTCAAAGTTCAATGTTTTTTTTAAACTGCCACATAGGTGTCACAAACGTGTCAAAAACGCATTGTTTACAATACCTCGGATTGTTTTGTCCGTGGAATATTTCGAAAAAAGGGTATATCCACGCAGAAGCAATCGTATACAGTGGATCTCTGTTGGCTTAAACTATATTTTTATGTTTTTTTCCAGATCTCGATCTAATAAAAGATATGCCCACAGCTTAGCATCTTGTCTAATACACTTCTTAAAGAAACGAGCAGGGGATTCTAAAACAAACGCCTTGCTTGCCTTAATAATCACAAAATAATAATGAGAGTTGATTCCATTGCATTTACTAAGCATTTAAAATGTTGATTAACTATGTTCCCCAGTTTCAGAGTGTAAGATTGCAAAACTAAAAAGGGCTGCGACATACAGGAAGGAGCAGATAAAGTCATGGATGTTTACTGCAGGATGACTGATTACTCGGGACATGCAATTTTAACTTTTCTTCAATAGATTATTGTGAAGATAACATGGGCAGAGCATGGGAATACTTCAAGACGACAAAATAAAAAAAGATAATGTTTTAGACCAGTCGAGATATTTGCTTTGCTTGAAAGTGAGAATTTATAATCATTGCTAGGTATCCATCATTGTATACAATTGATTGTAAACCAAAGAATGGCATTGCATCTTAACTGACAACAGACTGTGAAGAGGTTTAGATTTCGTTTTCAAGTAATTTATGAAGACTTTTTACATGGTGTTTTTTCTTTCTTTTTTTCAAAATAAATTGAAAAGTCAATTCAACACAAACTTCTGCCTATCGGCTGTTAAAATATTCTCTTGGTTATGACAGAAAGAAGCTCTTTAATTTTTCACAGTTTTTACTCTGATAACGCGCGAACATATGTGATCCCTGCACCACTGCCAGTCCACACTATGCCCTCGACCATAATGAAGTCGCAATAAACAAACAAAATGAAAAGACCCAAGAATTCCTGGGTCGGGTTGTTATCTCACCGGACACTGATTGATTAGATGTGCTCGGACCCTCACAGCCCCCCTGCCGATCTCAACAATGGCCCAGGTACTCAAACACACGTCAGTGAATATGAATAAACGAGGGATGGCAGCTTTCAGAAATGGCAGGTAGATCTTCTCTATACTATGTGACCGCAGGCAGTGCCATTGTTCGTTGTAATTTCCGCTCGACCAATCAGAGCGGCGGACGGCGATGAGGGGGCGTGACTTGTTGCCATATGTGTCATCTGCGTCAAGCCCACCTTGGCAGGTTTGTGTGAAGAGAGAAGATGTTGACTTTAACTACACTTCACTTCACGTAGGCTACCACAACACATTTTGGCGTGCTCATCTTCACGACAACGACGGAGAGTGGACATCACGCTGACTACTTTAACAGAGGGGCAGTTAGGGTCTTAGTGAGACATCGAGAGTACGGGTTAGCAATTGTCGCTCGAAACAATCACGTAGAACGAGAGACCCACGGCAGAAGGCGGTCATGTTGAACGTAGCCAGCTCCATGGAGGGACTAGATCAGGGAATTGATACCAAGCCATCGGCTTTTATGGAGCTACAGAACCCAGCGGCCGGGATGATGGGTCATACACCGTACCCAATTCGATCTGGCCACTACCCGATGTCGCCAAACCAGGAATCGTTGTACTCCCACCAACAGCAACACGCTCGGTCGTTGGGTTACCCCTTTTCTATGAACTCAATGAATTCTCTGGGGCATAATCCTTACAACGCGGCCTCTCATCCCTTTGCCATGAACCCTTACCAGACGCCTCCACCAGTTAGGGAAGGTAAGCTCGATCGTACATTCATCCATTTTTGTGCCTGTTGATTTCGCACGCCATGTACCGGTGATTTGTGACTCGTGCTCGTTTTGTTGTGATCCGCGCCAATAGGCATTGAAATGATCGGCAATTTTTCATTTTTCTCATTTATTCGATGATCATCCGGCGACCGGTGGTTGTAATAGGGCCCCGGTGTAATGGCGCCGATTACACACTCTGTTTAAACGGTTAATTATTGCAATTTTACCAGGATAATGACCCATTTTAAAACCAATTTTAATGTAAAGCTTTGGATTGGTATGGAAAAATGTTTATATTTTTACTTCTCTATTATGCAGGATGATGCCATTGTTTTTTAATGTAATAAGTCTGTTTGGAGATTTATTATTCATTCTGCATGATTGTTCGTATTGGTAGAGTATATTTGAACACGGATTTTCTTCTAATGCAAATTATCTTTATTATTATAGTCAATAATTGAAAAATAGTAAACCCGATACTTTGTTTTGAATAATTATTAGATACATAATAATGTATTTAATTAGTAAAAATCTCAAATCTCCATAAGATTCAGCGATATGTTGAACTTTATTTCGGGGCTTTCTTTTAAGAACACGGGATAATATCTGGAATTAACTAACTTGCCATGATTATCTTTAATTTGTATTTTCGAGCTGCGGACTGCTTTTCCTTCTTTACTCTTCTACTTTTTTACTATTTTGTTCCATCACAGCATTTTACAAAAGTTTTATTAAAGAAGATAAAAGTTGCCTTTTTTAAGATATGTAAAAAAGCAAATAGTAATTGTGCTTATGGTCCAACTACGTCAATCTTTTTATCTCCCGTCTTGCCACCATACGTGCTCAGTAGGGGTTTCAGTGTGGAAAACCTATGGCTGGGCCCTAGCGTGTGAACTGTAGGAGTTTAACAGCTAGATGTTCCCTTCCATCGACAATGGACGAACCGCAGGACACTTTGTCCGTTGAAAATGCAAGCGACAGAAAGTCTCAGGCGAGGTTACACGTTGTCTGAGAAGCTTGAACAGAGATATGTATGTCATTATGGGTTTGATAACAGAAAACAATCGAATACGTCATTGCACTAATCGCCGAAGGTCAAACGGCGTGGTGTTGATTCTCTCAACACGTGAAATAGTGTATATAGATTTCCTTTATAAGACGGTTTGCTGTAATTCTGCCCAATATTAACATGGCATTTGGTCGCCAGTTGATTAAACAAGTAATTCTAGTATAACAGATCGTAAGGCGTGATTACCAGTTTTCTTTAATGAGACTAATGTCGTGTATTGTTTATATCTCGGGCAAGATAGTGTGTACATTAAATTGAAAATGGGGATGCAAAATGTCAACAGTCAATCTCTCGAATTTGACCACGTCAAGAAAATTCGTTTTTTTTAAAGAATGTTTAAGTAACCCCTTCATGATGTTTAAGTCACAGCATTCATTTGACGGTCTTGTGATCCAGCTCTACTCCGTTATTCATCGCTCTCAAATGATGCGTGTCATCTTTGCAGATATATTATTCTAACCCGTATAACATGTGCCGCTTTGGCTTCACGCTTTTCTCTGTTGAAATCACACGATGTGGTTCTCCCTTCTTTTACCAACATCCATTTATTTTTTACCAGTTTGTTTTCGTCTAGGTGAAGGTTTATATATATAAGGTACTCGTGGGTGACTACTCTCGTCTTGTTTTCTTTCCGTAGTGTACTTATTCAAATAAACCCCACGGTTTCAGTTTTACATCCTCGAGTATATCATATGATATGATACGGGAAGAGCCATAATATAACGGCTATGTCTTTTGTTTTGTAAAGAAACAAAAAATTAAGAGTTTTAAGTCTTAGTTTCATAGTTTAACCATTGAAAAAACTGATAATGGTATCTCATTTTGGAGTAGTCTGAGTTCGCTTTTTTTCTATTAGCACGGTCTTATTCATTTAAATAAACATCTGCAATGATGAAATAAACATTTTAGAAGTATTTCCTTAAAGTAAAGGAACAAGGCAAATGGGAGAAACCTACAAGTAGGAACGCGGCGTACATCCCCAACAGTGGAGGCGACGGAACAATACCTGGTTATAAAACCATTCACACGTAACTGACATTCCCCAAATCCGAGACAATACAGCATTCCAACTAGTGAAATAAACAGGCGCACGGGGCTGTGACGAGAATGAATAATATGAACAGAAAAAAAGGGGAGCTGAGACATTTACGTCGAGGCTCGGTCGCATGGTGACGTTTATTATGATGGGTTATAAAGCAAAAGAGCGAGTCTTGCAAATTTGAAAAGCGTGCATGGACCCCCGTATGCGTGTTCAGCCTAGCACTGCCCGACCAGGGGAATTTAATTACTTTTCACGTTGCGCGGCAGCATGCTTAGGGTAGCACACATCAAATGTCTTAAAATCTTTGTTCACAGGGGATCGATTTTGACAAAATGTATTGAAAGAGAAAGAGTTGATATACGCAACATTATAGTACCGTGACAATCAAATGAAAAATTCATAGTTGTAAGAATGGAGATGGCGGTGTCAAATCATTTTTGTCAACGTTGTTTGAAATGATATCTGGAATGAAACTATAATGTTTTAACGACGTTTCCAAGTGACGTTGCACGGATTCATCACGCAAAACCAAAATATAATTTATTTTTCTTTTAATTCACTTGAAATTATCTTACGTAAAAAACGTCTGGAACCAAGCGGCGCCTCATTCAAGAACGTATGCACCGCCACCCCACAACAAATATATTACAGAGATAAGTCCATCAGTCGACTTAAAAATTGAAATGATTGCCATTTTCCTCGAATATCACCCGGATCTTTGGCGCATTGTCAAAGAAAAACCATATTGCCAGGAAACGCGCAACACGACCGGACATTATATAGTCTGATCTCCCTTCTCAAAAGCTAACAGTCTTAACAGCACTTCTATACTAATTATCAAACAGTAGCTTGTCATTACTTGTCATTTGGCCAGACTGGAGGGAGCGTTATACCAGAATCTGGCCTGTCTCACGCAATGCTGTTTCTTACATATTTCTAGGTCATGAGAACAATTGTTATCTTTGATAAGTGCATCATGATCTTTGATAGCTTTTATTTAAATGTTATATTTAAGTATACGAGTGCAGCGACAGGTTAACACAATTATGCAACACGGCGTTAATGTACAGAACCTACTCGGCATAAGACATGGCGTGAATTTTTATTTTCGTATGCAACGACATCACAGAAACAGGTGTCATGAATAAATAATTTCTAACCTATTTTGGTTGTAACACTGTGCTCCACTTTAAAAATCTTAATTTTTAAAATTGTTTGCGAAACAGGAACAGATAAGCTGGGATTCAAAAACCGCTCTGCTACTTTATTTCTATGATGTTTTTGGTTTCCGAGCGCTTAGAGTTGCAGGACGATTTTGGGGGCAGATGCCTTGAGGTGTCCCCAGGCAAATTCTCCGCGTGAAGTGCGCGCCGTCCCCGCGCTGTGTATTCCGTCCACCTGTCCGTCTACCGCCATTTACATGTCGTCTGCTTTGTGCACGTAAAACAAAAGCAGACGACTCCTCCGCAGCTTGCACTAGGTGACAAAACACTTGGAGGTCTTTGACTTTTTAATTCTTAATTTTTTCAATTTAATTTTTTTTGCTTAAATATTTCTTAAAGTTAATGTCTTGGTCTAATTATTTACATAACTATTTATCTCCCCGTTTTTAAGCTGATTATTAAAGTGTATATAGATTGGTAAAATTGTCCTTGCACGTTACTCCACTACAACTTATGTGAACGACCAACTCTATATTAATTCCCCGTTTAAGACAGGCTGCCTTATTAGAAAGAAATCACTGAAAACATTTACAGCAAATAGGCCTATAAAGGATTATTTTATCAAGCATGCTGTTGTATATTATGCTCTGTTTTGTCCTATTGCATAATATTGTTCCTGTGATGTCAGCTTGTCATATTATATTTCGACTTCACTTTTTCTAACGTATTTCGTATTTGCGATTTAAAACAAAGTTCACAAAAATAAATAAATGTCAAATGACTTTCTGAAGATGTAAGGCATAATATAATGTATTTTATCAACAGTTCTGTAAGCCATTGAAGACAGTCCTCTGCATTTGAAAAATTTGGAAACACATGAACATAAGTCTTATTTACTATTTCTGTTTTGATCAAAATTGCATTGTGTATGTTAAAAACATCAATTTGTGTATTTTATACTACATGTTGCAGCAGAAGGAACATGCATAGATAAAAATAATGCGCCATGTTGGATTTCAAACTGTTGCGCGATACACGCAGATCAAGTGTTAATTTCCTTTTAGCGTTTTACGATTATTCTAAAAACATTAATGTATTCTGTCTAAAATTAAAAATTAAACAACGCACTCTTGAAAATAGGTTCAGTGTGGCGAGACCCGCTTTACGATAGTTATATGTAGTAAGCCTAAGTCATGCATACTATTGGGTTGTTATGTCATTTAACTGCAGATGTCAGTCGATGTTATATCAAAAGCAACATGCTAGAAAGAATTGATTGCAAAACGCTGGCAGGATATTTGTATATATTGACGTCACGACAAAATTTTTTTCATTATTTTTTCGTTATATTAAACCACCGATGGCATCATTTGAAGTATTCAAACATGTAATGGCTTTGGAATTTAAGACAAAAGTTAAAATGTATCTGGTCAGTCGTTTATCAGATTTATGCATCTGTCCAACCGCTAGTGGACACAAATATGTTCTGCATATCTTTCTTTGGTCCCCTCGTATCAGATCGTACATATGCATGTATTTCGACCGCAAGTTTTGGTTTACCAACGTGAAAAGCTTGAGTCACTGAGACATTCGCAACCTATTTTTTAAAACTCTAAATAAAACTATCCACTTTTTCTGATTTTTGAAATAGGTGCTTTGAATTTCACTTGATTAAAAATGAGAGAAAAATTAAATCATATATCAGACAAAATGCAAACTCATTGCATTGCAACCTTTGTCTTACAGAGCATTATTCAATAGTTACCCCTTAATGAATAGAAGTAAAGTTAGTTATTTAATTACAATAAAACAACGCTTGAATTCGCTGTTAAAATATATTTCATTGATATTTTGTCATTTTACGTTTCAAATTCCTTTAACAAAATTTTGTTGTTTTCTGTAATACGTCATATTATTATTGGCATTTTCAGTTGAAGGTAAAACTCAGGAAGAACAACTCCGTATGAATGGCAAAGGAAAGAAAATGAGAAAACCTAGAACGATATATTCCAGCCTCCAGCTGCAACAACTTAATCGCAGATTCCAAAGAACGCAGTATCTGGCTCTGCCAGAGAGAGCAGAATTGGCGGCTTCCTTAGGCCTAACGCAGACACAGGTAAGAGCACAATAAGAGAAATAAACCAGACAGTAGTCAAGTACTTACTGAAATGATGAACTTATATAAAATAATATTTGTCACTTAGAGGCGGATGGATAGAGGATGGACGACGAGACAACAAGGGAAAGTAGTTCAATATAAATGGCAAGCATAGTTTTTGTTTGTCTTTAAGTCAAAATATATGGAGAAACTGATTTCCGGCTATTCCCAGATAAGCAGGCCTGACCTATCTACAAAGCCTATTCGTTCCTGGTTCAAAAAATAATTTTCGACCTAAAGCTCGTCTCATTTTTTAGACCAAAAAATTATTCAACTAGTGGTAGTCAAGTGCAGCACTAAGCTAAAATAAAGCAGCTTTTGGGTTCGAAATTAACATTTTCATTTTATATTACAAAGTAATTAATAGTTTCCACACAGTGCAGCTACTGCTTTATCGTTGGTCAAAATGGACTGAAACTTTAATATAAAAGTTTAGCCCAATTTTTGGGCAAAACTTCTTTTGTAAAACTGTCCAAAGGTTCCCCACCATCTATTCATTCATAATCTACCAATCTTGCGACATCGGACACTTGCCGGGTTTTTGTAATTTATAGACCTTCCGACATAAATGATCCGGGACTACTTTGCAGTGCATTTTAATGTGGTCATCTCTCATTATCAGACCATAAAACTTTCGCCTGGCCTGTGTGACATCTTGTTGAACGTATTGAGAACACGCGCGTTGCTAAATTGGTCGTAATGTATCAGTTTGAATTGGACTAATGAGCAACAGCTTCTTTTCATATAAATATAGCGTACCAAAGAACTGGTGACCATGGCTGTCTGTGATTTCACGGAGATCGAAGAAGAAAAAGTCCGGTTTCAGAATTCAGATTTTTCATTTACTGAAACTTATGCCTTGAGTATTACGGGAATTTGTGTACGAAATAAATCTGACTTCTTGGTTTCTTAAAAGTTGAAACGGAAACGCATTCAGTGGTGTTCTGGGGTTTTTGTCTGGGTAACTGGTACAGGTCATCCATGAAGACAAACGTCAAAGAACGGAATAGTGCGGAATGCTTTGTAAACGTCGATTACATTGTGCCAGGCTTGTCGCTGTCAACCCCATTACGCAACCGTCACCTCACAGTGGGAATAAACGAGGAGAAGGTGGGCCTTATCTCCACGCGCCCCGGGGGTCCTTCACCTGGCCCATTGTGCCACGGTTTCCAATGCAACCCTGTTTTTGGCGATCCGTGAAAAATATTCACCAGGTACTCTTGTCTGTTGAAAATGGACTATACTTGTTTGAACTTGTCCCAAAGCCATATTTTAAACCTCTATATGTACGTATATCCATCAAAGCTACTTAGGTTTCCCATATGAGGCCTTAAACACATGGAATAAAGCCCCAGAAATAAAAGTCCCCGACGTCGACATTTTCTTCCGAAATGTACGTGAAGACATGGCGTTTTTTACATCTGACCTGACATTAAGAGCAATACAAGTTAATTTTAATATTTTTTTAATTTTAATTTTTTAAAGTGGTTTATTCAACATCACATCCGAGTCCAATGTCGACCAATGATTTTAAAGATAATTTGATTTTGCGCAAAAATCCAGGAAAGGCTAACTTAGCAATAACTTTGTCCTGGTTCTCTGTATGTTATACTATATTCACATTGCCATAAATAAGTTGTTGACAACTCACACATACACACACGTATACATATAAAACGAGTAAAAGCAATTTACTTAAAATGTATTTATTTTTCCTCATCCAATTTAACTGTATCAACATTATAATCTAAACATTTCCCTCTGATTTACGCGCTAGGAAAAAATTATCTATAAATTCAACTGAATTTTAACCATATTTTAGAGTTTTCTTTTCTTAGAACAGCTGACGGCCGACAGTTGGGCATTTGATACTTTTTACGTCCTTTTTTAATTGCAAAAAAGCGTGTTTAGGTGCGTTGGGCGTCGAGGCGTGCCAAGCCGATCTAAGTTATGCACGTATATGAGAATATTCACACTTTTTCCCGGTAAAGAGGAGGAAAAAATTTTGTGGGAGTTTGTTCATTAAATATTAAGACCCTAAGGTGAACTTGGCACGAAACGGTGGGGTCAAATATTCGTATAATAATTACACCGATCTCGACGAGAGAAAGGCTTGTTATCTATGAAGTTGAGGTCGGTGTTTCTCCGAGGCGCGGGTGTTTGATTTAATGGCGTCCTGATAGGTGAGAGAACCCTCTCACATCGTTTCTCGTGTGACAGTTTGGGGAATATCCCTTATCTCCTCGGGAGAATTCTGTGAGATACGAAATGAGCTCAAAAATTTAGCAATGAAGTAAATAATTGACATACTGTATTGTACGATGTTTTTTAAGTGAGAAATGGGTCGCCTGTGACTGTGTTTTGTTATATAATACTACTGACGTCGTTTTGGCAACCCCATGTTTAGAGCGACCTTTTGAGTATTTGAGACTGCATTGCCCTGCCTGCATTCAACCAAAGGCAGAAAAGTCGGCAATGTGGGATCGGTATATAATAATCTATTAATCCTGGAATCATCGTTGAAATTAGCCAGGCAATCGAATGTTGAACAAATTGGCTGTTTATTATACCAGTACAGTACCAGGGAAAGGGGGCTTTCATGTAGTGAACCAGAAACCTGGGAGTAATGAAGGCATCAAATTTTGCAAATTTACCTTCATCCTCGATCATAATCGCCGTTATTGCCTGTGCGAACGGTAGCTAATTGCATGCACGTGCACTGGGTTAGAGAGATACGGGAGATCCAAGAGACAGTTGATTGAGCGCAGTGCTGGAAGCTTAATTGAGCAGATAGTGTAAATTATTGAAACTCTGCAGTCTGCAGGGTTGGGGAGGGTTTCCAAAGTGGAAAGCTTACCGTGTTTGCAATGCCATTATGGGTATGAATATCCATGAGAAATTGAGAAGACTGACCCGAATTTGGTTGTTATAAGTGCTCTAACAGCCATCTGAGTTATAAGGAATGCTATAACCGTCTTTTCCACTTTCCGATGATTCAGTTCTGTTTTTTGTATACTCCAAATTGTTGATTCTTATAAAAATCGACGTTCCTTATAGAAAAAAGGTCATCCTTAAAGAAAACTGGGTTTGTCGGCATGATTAAGCTTTTTGGTGTACTGCTTGTGAAGTTGAGAATCCCCAAATACCGTAGACTCCAGAAAAAAAGAATCGAGATCACATAGTGAAATTTTTCAGTGCACTATTGGCGCCTTGAGAACCGTGCCTAATATACTCTTCCCGTCTAAAATTGAATTGGATTTCAGTAACCCAAACTGTTCTCCAGTTTGTGCTGAAAACAGGCAAATGTGCCATTTTCACATTTCTATCCACATTTCTGTATTGCATGTACTTCTACTCCTATCCGTGGGTTTGACTGCACAAGGAAGAACTAGAACGTAATCTACTCTGGGAGGGACTTATATACACCAGTGGCAAAAATTAAGCAATTTTTAAAATGAGAGTGATTTGGAAGTAATAATACCTAGCATTCACTGTAATTTCCAGCGATATTTATGTACGGTTCATGGTTATGGATCAGAAAAGTTTCGTACGATTTTCGAAAATTATATATAATTTTACAAAATGCCGGACCTTACGTTACCATTAGTCTGAAGGTTGATTATCCGCTGCAGGAAGGCATTTTAGTAATTTTGCTTCTACGAATTTCACGGGAAATTAATACTTGATAGGGCGCAGAGCTTCATTAAAGAATAATTAAATGTTTTTACACGTCACTGCTAATCTGACACTTATGCTAGCAAGATCCTGTGCGCAATGCTTTTTTGTGGTTTTTTGCCCACATGAGTTTCTTCGTGCCCCAGAGGACGCATGTCTTGCCGTATTCCAGAATTTTTCCGTAAAGGTCACTTGATGTGATTTAAAATCTGCTCATCGTCTCATAAAGTCCTCGGTTATATATCGTTACACTTTTGTACTCTCAGTGAAGGATATGTTCTAATTTTCTTATACTATAAAATGTTTTGCTGCAAAGTAAGCAATTAGATGATCAAAATACGAGCAAAATATATTTGTTTGCTTTATAACAATGGCTGTCACCTTGTTGACTCTGATCTATAAATTTTTTAAAAGCAAACGCGTTTATGAATAACCAATGGAAAAAAACGAACATAAGCAACACCTTCTAATTATAGAGCGACGACATTTGCTATGCAAAGCCAGCATGAACTTTTTACAAATTAATAACAATGAATTCAACTGTTGTGAAACTGGTGATATTTCATTGAATATTGTCACATATAATATGAGTGCTTTTGCACTTCCACAAAAGTCTTAGCACTTGCTTGAAATTTCTGTTCCTTTAATCTCATTATGCTCAAATTTAGAATTGAGAAAAAGCACATTCTCATGTAGAGCTCCCCTTTAAAGTCTTCGAATTCGCCGGAAATGTCAGCTTGCATTTTGAAGTATACAAAAAGCAAGAGACAAGACGCCTCCTGTTTGATATTTTATTTCAAATCGTAGTAGTAACTTTTCGATATCTTGTCCATAAAACAACCACTATGTCGTAAAACTTGTGTTAGCATCTGTCGCCAGGGAGATCACATGACAACCACCTGTTCCCGGTGTACCGTCTGTGGCTGGGGTGACAGGTTGGCTCTGCACAGAGCTTGGCACCTTCACTCCATAGTAGTTGTCGTAGTAGGAGTAGTAGAAGTAGTAGTATTTGGTTCGTATTTATTTTGGAGAAGATTGAAGATGCAATTGCTAAATTCTGCAACCAGAGTTAATTCTTCTCTTGCGTTTACAAATATGCTTTAAAAAAGTGGTGTATTTTATACAGCTTAAATATACATAAGAAACTTATACTATATATACGCAGAAAGACAATATGACGCTTTTGAAGCATTTTCACCAAAGTTATTCTCATTCTGAAGAAGTCTATATCTGGCATGTATCCCGTTAATTCTCGTGCCCCTAGAGAGCCGACACTGATGAGC